TTTGCACCTGCTGTCTTCATGGGTCATTAACTTGGGTCTATTTTTCCAGAGGACATTTAGCATCATGAAGCTTATTGGGAAGCAGTGCTTCCAACCATTTTAGCTTTAAAGCTGACAGAAAATGTCTCTCATTTGATATTTTGAGGCCACATTAAAAACTATTTAGAAATGCCATGCCAGGGAATTGAACGCCTGGGATTATTTGTGTGTGTGTGTGTGTGTGTGTGTGTGTGTGTGTGTGTGTGTGTGTGTGTGTGTGTGTGTGTGTGTGTGTGTGTGTGTGTGTTATATTTATGAGACAGAGTCTTGTATAGCCCAAGCTGACCTTGAACTCGCAGACTGACCTTGAATTTCTAGTCCTCCTGCCTCCATCTCTTTGTCTTTGTTTCTCTGTGTAGTCCTGGCTGTCCTGGAACTCACTCTGTAGACCAGGCTGGCCTTGATCTCAGAGATCCACCTGCCTCTGTCTCCTGAGTGCTGGGACTAAAGGTGTGTGCACTACCATGTTATCTTTGACAGTCTCACTCAATATCTGAAGTTAATCAGTGCCTTTATCCCTTAGCAGAACTGTAGAGGCGTCTTATCCACCCTCTCTTCTGGTTTCCATGCTAATGTTTTGTTGGCTTGTTTTTGAGGTATTTTAAGTTCCTGAGGCTGGTCTAGAACTCTAGACCCTTGCTGCAGCCTGGGGCATTTGGGATTACGATAGGTGTGGAACATCCATCCTCCACTCTCTACTCCACAAATACAGTTTTTCTTTTGGAAGTCCATCTTCAGCCAAGCTGACTCACACACCTATTGCTGTTCTTCATTCCCTCCCACATCCATGATTCACCTTAGTGTTTTCCTTTTCTCCCTCTTTAGAATTTTCTTGAACATATGAGGATCTCCTACGTGGCATCTTCTTGTCATTTTGGGTGTCTGGGTTTTAGCATCTAGATGCAGATTTTCTGAGTGCACAATTCCAGACTGATAGTAATCATCTCAGCACACTGAAGCTGTGAGGCGTTAGACACGGTGCAATTCTATGAATCAGTTGTGTGTGTGTGTGTGTGTGTGTGTGTGTGTGTGTGTGTGTGTGTGTGTGTATTCAGGTGTCGATGGAGGCCAGAAGAGGGCACTCCCTGGATTCCCTGGTGCTGGAGTTGCAGGCAGCTGTGAGCTACCCAGTTTGGGTGCTGGGATCCCAACCTTGGTCCTCTGCAGAAATGACAAGCCCGCTTAACCACTGAGCCATCTCTTTCAGAGCCAGGGAGGTTTTATGTGGCTCATTAAGCATCTCCACAATCTCCTTGGCTTGAACAACAAAGGTTGGTGTCTTCCTTTGTGGGGCAGCTGGTGACACACCAGGCTCCTGGTGGAGAGAGAGAACAGTGGCAAAATCCGTTGACAGTTCTGGAAGCTTCTGGCGGCAGACATCACTTAGCCTCACATATCATTATCCTAAGCCTGGTTGGAACAGGGTGGGGTCAGGTTTTGCAGATCTAAGCTGTGTGCGTGGTCATTGCCAACCAGGAGCTGGCAGCAGTCAGCAGTCATTCAGTCCGTGACACCGTGTCTCCTCTGAAGATCCCTGCATCGTCTTCAGTGTCCACAGGAAAATTCTAACCACACTAGTTTTTCTCAGGCCAGTGTGGTAAGATATTCAAGGTGGGTTGTTTACTCATGCTGTAAAGCTGACAGAGCCAAGAAGGAAGCGGAGATTCCCCAGATATTAGTAATTATAGTGGGCGGCTACCACCCCTAAGCTTGGGAGGATGAAAGGGTTCAGGAAGTAGGGCTAACAGGAGGAGGACCCCAGCTACAGATGGTCGGTAGGAGGGCCCAATCAGCTGTGGCTTTTCCTCATAGGGCAGTGTTGACAGAAGCCAAGGGTGGGAAGTAAAGGCTGCCGGAAGCAGGGACAGGAAGGACTACCTTCCCTCCTTCAGTCCCCCTCCCCCCCTGCAGTACCTCTGGTTTACAGAACCCAGCAGGAAGTCAGTTTGCGAGGAGGACTCAAGTCTGGGGATCTGGCTTGGCCGAGCTCCCTGCGGCCTCACTGGGAGGACTGTAGAACGGTGGACTGGGATCTTCTTCAGCAAAACCAGCATTCTTCATGAGTTGTTTCCCACTACCAGCTTCCATGGCTTTTCTTCTTCTTTGATTTGTTTTATGACTTTAAACAAAACTCTCTCTCTCTCTCTCTCTCTCTCTCTCTCTCTCTCTCTCTCTCTCTCTCTCTGTGTGTGTGTGTACTCACTTGTGGGCACCATTGATGTACATGTGGAGGTCAGCAGACTTATGGAGAGTCAGTTTTTTTTGGTGAGTTGGTTTGGTTTGGTTTGGGTTATGGTTTTTCTCGAGAGAGGGTTTCTCTCTGTGTAGCCCTGGCTGTTCTGGAATTTGCTCTGTAGACCAGACTGGCCTTGAACTCAGGGAACTGCCTGCCTCTGCCTACTGAGTGCTAGGATTAAAGGTGTGTGCCACCACTGCCTGCCATGTTACTTATTTTTGACACAGAGTTTCACTATTTAGCCCCAGATGGCCTAGAACTGGCTCTATAGACCAGGCTAACCTCAAACTCAGAGATCTACCTGCCTCTTTCTCCTAAGTGCTGGGATTAAAGGCGTGCACCACCACCGCCCGGCCATTCTTGGCTTTTTTTAAAAAAAAATTATGTGTATATGTCTGTGTCTGTGTGAGGATGCATGCATTTGTGTGCAGATGCTGCAAGAGCCCAGAAGAGGACATTGGATTTCCTGGAGCTGGAGTTAATGGCTGTGAGTTGCCAGATGTGGGTGCTAGGAAACAAACTCTGGTCCTTTGTAGAGCAGGGCATGCTCTTAACCGCTGAGCCATCCCTCCAGCCTCACAACTGGCTTTTCAACGTAAGTGCTAGGTATCCAAACTCCAGTCTTCATACTTCACAGTGGTACTTGATCAGTTGTCTCCTGAGCCTGTGAGCTGGTTGTGGCGGTACAAGCCTATGTCCCCATCACTCAGGAGGTAGAAACTGGAGGATCCAGACTTCTTGGCCAACATGGGCTACGTGGTAAGAAATTATCTCCAAAAAAGAAATAAAAAGTGCTATACAAAATTATTTGTAGAGATAATTTGAAATGGAATGAAAGTTAACAGTCTTTACTTTTTTTCCTCTTTTTTTCCACATGCTGGGCAAGCTGTGGCACTAAATATCCCCAGCTCACTCTTTTTTTTTTTTTTTAAAGATTTATTTATTTATTATGTATACAGAAGAGGGCACCAGATCTCATTACAGATGGTTGTGAGCCACCATGCGGTTGCTGGGAATTGAACTCAGGACCTCTGGAAGAGCAGTCGGTGCTCTTAACCTCTGAGCCATCTCTCCAGCCCATTTTTTTTTTTTTTTTTTTTTTTGTTTTTCGAGACAGGGTTTCTCTGTGTAGCTTTGCGCCTTTCCTGGAACTCACTTGGTAGCCCAGGCTGGCCTCGAACTCACAGAGATCCGCCTGGCTCTGCCTCCCGAGTGCTGGGATTAAAGGCGTGCGCCACCACCGCCCGGCTCCCCAGCTCACTCTTAACTAGATTCATTAGTGCATGTTTTGTCTTCCTGTCTCTGTACCAGGGCACACCTGGTGCCCTCAGAGGCCAGAGGAGGATGTTGGCTCTCCTGGAACTGGAGTCACAGACCATTGTGAGCCATAATGTGAGTGCTGGATACCAAACCCGGGCCCTCTGCAAGAGCAATGGTGCTCTAACCATTGAGCAATCTCTCTGCTGTGCCTTCTCTTTAAAAAACTAAATGTGTGCGTGAATGTGTGTGCTCACACTCAGATGTATGCCCATGAAGAAGGCAGAGGTGACTATTGGTGACCCCCTCAATCAATCTCTGCCTTATTCTTTGAGACAGGGTCTCTCACTAAGCCTGGAGCTTTCCAATGGCAATGGGGGCTCACCCCTCACCCCTACCTACCACCATGCTTGGCTTCTTTGTCCTTTTCTTTCTTAGCAGAGCATGTGTAGATTTATGAAACAAAAATTAGAAATAACTTCCCAGAATGGGAAGGCCTCCCAGGGAGGAATGGCTATTCCTGACTGCCGATTGTCATGTATGTATGTATGTATGTATGTATGTATTTACTTATTTTATAGGACTGTTACCTTTTTTTAGATAAGGCATTGCTATGTAGCCCTGTTTGACCTGGAACTTTCTGTGTAGGCCAGGCTGGCCCCAAACCTGCGACCATCCTCTTGCTCCTGACTCCTGGGTAGTGGAATTACAGTTCTGAACCAACATACATGGCCAGCCCTCTTTTTTAACTTTTCTTTTTGAGGCAAGCTCTTACCCAGGCTGGCCTTGAACTTTCCACCCTACTGCCTCTGCTCACATTAAAAGTATTCTCCACGAGCTGGGCAGTGGTGGCACATGTCCTTAATCCCAGCACTTGGGAGGCGGAGGCAGGCGGCTCTCCGAGCCTGAGGCCAGCCTGGTCTACAGAGTGAGTAAGTTTTCTCCACTAGGCCTGACTCCAAAGAAAACGTTCTGTTGCTTTCTCCAGGCTTCTGCAGGCTTGACAGACAGATGATCTTAATTCATGCTCAGGGGCTTGCTGTAGGCCAGCCAGCGCTGTCATCACCACCAGGGAAGGGGAAGGGCTGTTATTCAGTTCTCTTACACTCCTGAGGGCTTCCACAGTCAGGGGGGTGTGGGGTAGTTTAGCCCAGTTTTGTCTGCAGCCAAGCGAAACCACCAAAAGTGAACTTGGCCTCTTTGTCAATTCTCTCCAGTTGACAAATGCTTCCCGGGCACTTGCCTCAGGATCTCTCTCTCTCTCTCTCTCTCTTTCTCTCTCTCTCTCTGTTCTTTTGTTCTTTAACTTTATTTTACGTGCATTGGTGTGAAGGTGTCAGATCTGGAACTGGAGTACAGACAGTTGTGAGCTGTCATGTGGGTGTGGGAATTGAACCTGGGTCTGGAAGAGCAGCCAGTGCTTCTAACCCCTGAGCCATCTCTCCAGCCCCATCTCTCTGTCTCTCAGGCTGGCCTCAAATTTGATATGCAGCTGAGAACGACCTTGAACATCTGAATCTCCGGCTTCAGACTCCCAAGTCCTGAAATCGTAAGGTGGTGACACCATGTCCAGTTTTGTGTAGTGCTGGGAACTGAACCCAGGGCTTCATGCACACTAGGCAAACACTCCACCTCTGGACCACTGTCGTCACATCTTCAGCCTTCCTTGCCCCTCTCTTTGCCCTCCCCTCTTCTCTTTGGCAGCCCAGCTTTGTAATCACCCTGCCTTGGCCTCCCAAGCACGGAGGTTAGGGGCATGTACCATCACGTCTGGCTTGGAATTTAAAAAGAACCTTAACACTGTCATTCTCATGAAGCACAGTTATTCAGAAGCAGCTGGCAAACACTGGTTGTATACTCCAGGGACCTGCTGCTTCCCTTCCCAGGAGTTCGAGTCAGCCCATGTGGGTGTAAACCTGAAAGTAAGTATTTCGTTGGTGGTCACGTGAGACCAGGATTGTAAACACATTTCTTTTCTTTTCTTTTCTTTTTTTTTTTTGGTTTTTCAAGACAGGGTTTCTCTGTGTAGCTTTGCACCTTTCCTGGAACTCACTTGGTAGCCCAGGCTGGCCTCAAACTCACAAAGATCCACCTGGCTCTGTCTCCCGAGTGCTGGGATTAAAGGCATGGGCCACCACCGCCCTATGTAAACACATTTCTAACCTATGAAAACAACAACAACAAAAAAAACCTTTTCCACCAAGTATTACATATGGACATCTTATTAATTCTTTTTGAGTTTTATTTTTCCATTATTTTTCATTTTATGTGTTTGGGTGTTTTGTCTGCATGAATGTCTGTGTACCCACATGTGTGCGGTGTCTGCAGAGGCCAGGAGAAGGCAGAGGATCCCCTGGGACTGGAGTTACAGGGACAGGAGAGATGGCTCATTGGATGAGAGCATTGGCTGCTCTTCCAGAAGACATGAGGTTCAGTTCTGGCACTCAAATAGCAGCTAACAACTACCTGTAATTCCAGTCCCAGTGCATCCAACACTCTCTTTGGATGGGATCCTGCATATTTATGGTGTATAGAAACTCAAGTAAGCATGCGTGTGTGCGCGCGCGCGCGCGCGCGCGCGCGCACACACACACACACACACACACACACACACACACACTAAAAACTTAAGTAACCGCTGGGCACGATGGTGTACACCTTCAATCCCAGCACTTGGGAGGCAGAGGCAGGTGGATCTATGTGAGTTTGAGGCCAGCCTGGTCTACAGAGTGAGTTCTAGGACAGCCAGGGCGGTTACAGAGGATCAGGAATTCAAGGCTAGCCTGGACTACATGAGACCATGCCTCAAAGATGAAAAGAGCAGGACAAGTTGTATATTGTCTTTTTATTATTCTTTTAAAGATTTCTTTCTTCTGTATTTTTCTCGAGGACAGGGTTTCTCTGTGTGGTCTCACAGATCTCACTGATTATATATATGTGTATAATATA